GCCGCAGTCACATCTTGGAAGAGGCAATGCTGGCCAGGTCCCACATCTTGAGTCTCTGGGGCACTTGCCCCACCTCTAAAATTTAACTGGCAAATGATGACTGTGCAATGATGATGTCTGGGCTAGTAACACGCGTGGGACACACTCTTCGTCAGGGGCATGGCCACAGCCCTGAGTGCTCCAGCTGACCCACAGAGAGAGGAGGGGGGCAGACTGCCTGGGCCAGCAAGAGCGTTGGATGGAGGGACTGGCTGAAGGACCTGGAAAGGGATTCTGGTAGAATGAGCGCATGTGCAAAGGCTTGGGTGCATGCAGAGTGTGGTGTGTTTGGAAATGGGTGCATGTGGCTCTCTGAAGCTGGAGGGGCCATCCTAGGGGGTGGGGGGACAGGAGATGAAGCTACAGAGATGGGTGGTTGGGACTAGGCTTTAGAAAGGGCTCCAAATTTGGGAGGAGACAAGAACCTTGCATACTCCAGTGTTGGGAGCCTATAAGGGAGCCTTCACTAAGGCTAAGTAATCTTGATTTGGGGCAGCTGAAGGGTTTTTATAACAATGATGAGGTTCATTTTCTCATTCAACAAATATTATCGAGAGCTTTCTATAAAGCTTAAGGTGTTGCCCTGGGCCTGAGATATGACCCAATATGCCAAGACAGAGTTCCCCCCAGTCCCAAGCCTATAACCATCAACAAGTAAATGCCTAAATGAGCTGATGACAGATGTGACAGATGCTCGAATGGAGATGCTGGCCCATCTGAAAGCAGAGGAAAGTCAGAGGAGGCCTCTCTGAAGAAGTGGCATTTGAAGTGTGAGGAGTGGAAGCTTTCCAGGTAGAAGGAGCAGCATGTGCAAGAGCCCCAAGGTGGGAAGAAGGGCGGTGACGGTGTTGCTAGAAGGGGCAGGGGCAGTTGTTGGCCTGTATTTCATGGCATTTCCCACTTGTGAAATGAGAGCTGTTCTGTACAGTTGGGTCCCATCCCCCTGCCCTGGGGAAAGACTGTGCACAGAGCTGAGGGATGCCTGCCACCCGGGGAGCCCCTGACAACCTGAAATCCTCCCTGTGAGTCACATTACTTATCTGGCTGTGACTTGTGTCCAGGAGACAAAAAAAAATCCAAGATAAGTTCACCTTTCCTCTTATCACACCTGGCCCGGACTCTCGCTAGTTCACTTTCCCTCTAATGAGTGGCTGTCTCAGCCAGGGCTCAGGCCTCTGAGTACGTGTCAGCAGGACTCTGGACCTAGACAACCCTGAGCAGGAGGGTCAGTCCTCTGTCCAAACTCCTGATTGTGGGCACCTCACTGTCTCCTGGTGGGGGTGCCTCTTCCACACAGATCCCTGCACACACTAACTCCTCCAGGCCAGTGGGAACTCCACCCCACAGATGGGGACAAGGACCCTGACTGGAGTCACACAGTCTTTGTCAGACTTAGAACCTACAGTTCTGGGTCTGCCGGGCACTGTTGGTCATTGGCTTCAACGAGCTGCTCTTAATGTCCGGCTCTTGCAGGAAAACTTTCCCCAGGGTTGTATAGAGAACCAGCCCAGCCTCTCCGACCAGTGACCTGGGGATAGTACCATTTTGGCTCACAACCCCCACCCTAGGCCTGGCTCACTGTGTGCCACAAACTAGTAGCCATGCCAGCCCTGGGCTGAACCTTACCCTCTGTGACGTAGCCTATGTAATCCCTCCCTGTGGCCATCAAATTAGTATATGACAGAGCTGGGATCTGAACTCAGGCTTGTCTGGTTCCTTGCTGCCCTCTGGTTTCTGGCTCCTTATCATCAAGTGAATGGAATGACTCAAATGGTAGGATTTCAGGTAGTAGAGAGAAGGGATTCAGAGCAGGAATCTCTTCTTCATTCAATGATGGGAGGTTCCTCACCTATCCTTGAGTAAGAGAACAAATGGGAAAATGGTTTGAGTTTGTCAAGGGCTGTGTGAATATGGTGTGCTATTTAGAACTCCTCCCCACCCACTGAACAGATGAGAGTACTGAAAAGTCCAGAGTGAGGCAGGCACTTTTGTGAGGAATTGCCAGGGCCTAGAAGCCAGGCTTCTGCCTTTAGCCTAGCCCTTCTTCCCCCAGCAGTCAGATCTCAACTTGGGCGTCCCCCTGCAGACAGGCTCCAGGGTCTAGCAGGATACTGTGGGGCACAGTGATCAGTGAAGGCCCTAGACACCTGCAGCCCCAGCTTGGCAGAGAGGGGCCTGAAGACTGGGTAGCAGAATGAGGTAGGCTGTGCAGCCAAACAGGTGTGGTTGCCACTTACTGTTAGCAACTCTGGGTGTTATCTGACCCTGAACCTCACATGCCCCTACTATAAAGTGGGCATAATCATGTCCCCATTTTACAGAGTCACTGTGAGGTTTAAATTACAAAGCCATAAAACCGAGCACAGCTCAGTAAATGACCCACCTTGAGGCTGTGAGCCTGTGTGCACAGCCAGCTGAACACAGGAGCCCATCTTGCTTGAGCAGGCCTTTTCCTTCTCTGGCAGTACAAGAGAGGGTCATGTGCCTGTTGACCAAAGCGCCGCCCCCTGCTTGCTCTGCTGCCCATGTTCTTCTGCCCATGTGCCACATTTCTCAGGTGGGGTAGGCAGAGACTGGGTGTGTCTGGTGGGATCCCCAGGTTTTCTCAACGCCTCAGCAGGACTGGGAAATTCTGAACAGAGTAGGAATTGAGTGCTCCTGGTTCTGAGCTCCCAGAGCCCTTTGTCACCTCCAGACTCAGGCGTGAGGCATGGCTCCCAGCTCCTGGGCTCTTCTGCTGTGGCATCTGTTACTGTTCACTCATTTCATGGCTGTTTCTCTGCTGATGAGGCTCCTAGCTTTCCTGGAGTCTGTATAGGGCCTGGCCTAACACAAGTCTGTCAGATGAACTGACAGATGGAAGGGCTTTTTAAATTAAATTTTTATATTTAAGTAATTGTAATTTACATACAGTTGTAATAAATAATACAGAGGGATCCTATCTACTCTTTACCCAGTTTCCCTCAATGGTAAAATATTTCAAAATTAATATAATATCATAACGTATCAGAATATTGCATAGTATATCACAATACCAGAATACTGACATAGATACCATCCAGCCAATCTTACTGACTTCACCATTTTCCCTTTACTTGCTTTGTGTTTAGTGCTCAGCAGCTTCGTCGTGTGCAAGTTCACGGTCCACCTCCTGTTCTAATTCTTGGCACACAGAGGATCCTTCTTGTCACCCTTTTATAGCCACAACCATGTCCCTCCCTGCCTCTACATCACCCTCTGACCTGCATCTCCCTACCTGCCACTAATCTCCACACCTTTATAATCAGGTCATTTCAAGAATGTTTTGCAAATAGAACCAGACAGTATGTAGCTTTTTGAGATTGCTTTTTTCACTTGGTGTAATTCACTTGAGATTTGTCCAAGTTGTTGCTTATATTAGTAGCTGGTTCTTTTTTACCAATCAGGGGTATTCCACAGTCTGGATGTACCACAGACTGTTTAACCAGTCACTGAGGGGCATCTAGGTTGTTTCTAGTTTTGGGCTATGACAAATAAAGCTGTCATGAACACTCATGTATAAGTTTTTTTCTTGTGAACATGTTACCATTTCTATGGGATAAATAAATGCCCAAGAGTGCAACTGCTGGTTTGTAGAATAATTGCATATTTAGTTTTAAAGGAAACTGCCAGGGGGAGCAGATTCATGATCTTTGTGATCAAGAATTTGTGAGTTCAAGCCCCACATTGGATGTAGAGATTACTTAAAAATAGTCTTTTAGAAAAGAAAAGAAACTACCAAACCATTTTCCAGGGTGGTGGTACCATTTCACATTCCCACCAGCAACATATGAGTAATTCAGTTTCCCCACATCCTCACCAGCACTTAGTGTTGTCACTGTTTTTTAATTTAGCCATTCTGATATGGTTGTGTAGTGACATCTCATAGTGGCAGATGGATAGATTCTGCTGTGCCTTGCTCACGGCCCCTGTGGCACTGGGCCTGGTTTTGTGGGTTTCTGTTGGGCCCTCACCATGAACGGTAGCACCTTGAAAGCAGAGCTCAAAGTCACTCATCTGACTCCCACTCCTAGTCCCAGTTTGTTTTAGTCCTCATGGGGGAAACAGCATTTAGAGTTTAAGATGCTGAGAAAAGCCCCAGGATCTGACCCAGCCCCTCACAGCAAGTAGCTACTGCTGTTTCAACAGCACCTTCTGTTTCAGACAAAAAGTTGAGCATGTAAGAAGCCAGCTGTGGGCCTTTACTGTGGGCCAGTCCCAGGCCAGGCTGGAATGGGATTCAGAGATGACCCCAGCCCCCACCATGGTAGGGCCTGGTTCCCTGAATCATGGTGGAGAATGGGGAATTGGACCAGGTATGGTGGACTCTTGAGGGAGGCAGACTGGTATATGGGGTTTTATACCATATAATAATGAGGAGATGGTGGGAATAGCAAGATGGGAGTAGGGTTAGCTGGACCCTAAAGGATGTATTGGTCTTTGACCAGATAGAAAGGGGGCATCCAAGCAAAGGGAAGGTAAAAAAGGAAAAGACCAGCAGGAACAGTAGGTCTGTCCGTGAGCTTGAGGAGGGAGCAAGGTTAACATTCTTTAGCACTCCTGACCTCTGTATCACTGTCACCGCATCCCCTGCCACTGGGTCAGGCTCTTTCACAGCCTGTGGCACCATGAACTTTATCATCTAGTCCATGCCCCAGCTGGATAATACCTTTGTGTGTGACTATGAGGTGGAGGATGTCATTGGTCCATGTTGGCATTCCCAGCTAGACCTGGCCTTGGACTAGTAGAAGAGTGGGCAGGGCCTATGTCTGTCTGTCTTGGTCACTGCTGTGTCAGACCCCCATTCTCCTGCTCCACAAATCCTTCCTGAGGGAATATCAAGGCCAGAGCTAGGGCCAGGTCAGGTGGGACCTCAGACTTGAAAGGGATTCCAAAGGTTTGGGACCTTACCTTCTCCTTGCCCTCCTCTCTTCTATCTGCAGGTTCATCATGTCTAGTGGCTTATAAGAAGACCCCACCACCGGTCCCTCCACGTACCACGTCAAAACCCTTCATCTCTGTCACAGTCCAGAGCAGCACCGAGTCTGCCCAGGACACCTACCTGGACAGCCAGGACCACAAGAGTGAGGTGACAAGCCAGTCGGGCCTCAGCAACTCGTCAGACAGCCTGGACAGCAGTACCCGACCGCCCAGTGTGACACGGGGTGGAGTCATCCCAGCCCCTGAGGCCCCGGAGCCACCCCCAAAACATGCAGCTCTGAAGAGTGAACAAGGGACGCTGACCAGCTCTGAATCCCACCCTGAGGCCATCCCCAAAAGGAAACTGTCATCTATAGGAATACAAGTAGGGGTCCCTTTCACACTCTTATGTCCTCAGCCCACCCTCTGCACCTGCCTGCGTGTAATTACATCTGGTGGAGGCCCACTAGGTCTCCTGGGCAAAGTGGTTTGTCTCTTTTGGAGGGTTGGCTCCAAGTGGCCGAACCAAATTCCACCCATAGCCATGCCTTCCTTACGTTTGCCCACATGTTGCAATCTGTAGCCGTGGGCATGTGTCCCTGTTTCTCCAGTGGGTCATCCCAGTCAATGTAGTTACACTCAGCCAGCCATCTCCTGTCCACTGTTCACCTGTCTGTCTGTCTGTCCACTCCACCCTTTGCCCTGCCAGCCAACGCGTGGGAGGTGGGACTGGCCTAACAGTTCTCTAATCCAAGGTCAGCTCGGGTGCGGAGGCCGCAGCCCCGGTTGGCAGTGGGAGCAGCATGGAGCCTAGACGTCGATGGGCCTGGGGCCCAGGACCCAGGGCCCTTGAGCCATGGGGGTTGCTTGAGGGGAACTTTACCCAGAGCCTTCTCGGGCCTGGGGGACAGGTAGGTGGTTTGAGGCACCAGGCCCATGTCAGGTTGAGAAGTGTGATGCTGGTCCTGAGGTCTCCCTCCATGGGAAAGGATACAGGCAGATATTTCCCCAGGACCAAGTGGCCAAAGCCAGCAGACCCTCCTGGAAGCCAAACTCCCTGTCCACTCACAGCAGGACAGGGTGTACCAGCTCCCCTCTACTGCTTCACAGCACCTCCTGTACACATCAGACCACAGTAATCTGTCTTGTCAGCTGAGCTGGGGAAACTTGAGCCTTGCTTTGCAGATTCAAGAGTTGCTCTCAGTCCAGAGTGCAAGGACTCCACCTGCCCTGACTGAGCCTCCAGACTAAAGTGGAACACACTCAGGGCACGGAAGAAGGAAAGTGGCTACAGTGAGCATTGAGCTTGGGGACAGTGGAGCCTTCAAAGAGGTCAGGGTGGTGTGCATTGTGGCTTAGGGCTGGAAGGGCTCTCCCATTTCCCCAGCTGCCTCTGATAACTGGATGTGGCTGAGTGGATGGCAGAGGGCTAGAATGCCAAAAGAACTTGGGACACAGGGGAGACTGAATGGGTTCCAACCAGAGAAAAACTCATTAGCCAGTTTCTTGCACTTGCCTGGGCTTCAGTTTCCCCACATGTACAGGAACAGAGTTGTCCGGGAGATTAATGTTTTCTGGGCTCCTTCATAAGGGGTTCAAGTCCCTGCCCTGTGCAGCTGCTCCAGGAGGGATTCTGAGGGACATAGAAAGTAGCCTAGTCTCTTGGTCTTAACCATGCAGGGTCTTTGGGCAGCCCCATCCTCTCCCTGACCAAACCAGATACTCCAGTCTTTTCAGAAGGTCTTAGTCTCACTGTTGGTTCCTTTCGTCCAGAAATTTACCTGGGGATGAGCATCCTAGCTCTTGGGCCTTCCCCTTCCCTGGTTTCATCCCCACCTGTTCCAAGCTCTAGTCGCAGCTCTTTGAGATTGGTGATGCTGTACTCCCTGAGCTGGCGCCTGCTGAAGGAGAAATGCAGTTGCATCCCCGTGGCGAGGAGGAGCCTGGCGCCCAACCCTCTGCCACTTCTGTGAAGCCAAGAGATTGGGAGTCCCCAATTTCCAAGGATACCCTGACAACCCTTATCCCATCCCTTGGTACCTCAAGCCCTAGGTCAAGTGTGGATTCTCCCTCATCCATGAGCAATGATGGAAGGGCTGGCCTGGCTGCTCCACGTCCATGCAGCTTTGTCCCAAAGAAGAAAGGCAGATTCGGGGCATCACTGCTGCCGTGTTTCCTTCCACTTCACGGGAGTGGAGAAAAAGCACTAGCTTTGCACTTGGCCCTGTCCCTGGCCCTTTCTGCTGCTCCCCAGGCCCACCCACTGCTGAAAGTAACCTCAGCCATCGAGGCCCAGGGACTGCATCCTGTAGCGTCCTGGGACCTTATTGGCTATTGCCTTGGGGGCAGTTTTCAAATCCAGAACTGATGTCCAAGGTTTGGCCCTAGTACAGGCGCCTCCAGCCTGCCCTTCAGCTGCAGGGTTGGGGAGTGATCTTTGCCTCAAGACAGCCCCCAGCTTCAACTACACCAGATAACGGCTGTGGCTTTGTGTGTGTGTGTGTGTTTTCTTTCTCTTTCGTCGTCCTTTTTTTTCTTCTCTTTGATGCGTGTAAAGGAGAGGACTAGAAGGAACGGTTCCCACCTCTCGGAGGACAACGGACCCAAAGCAATCGATGTGATGGCACCCTCCTCAGAGTAGGGAAAGCCAGTCATCTCCACCCCATCCCACCTCCCGCCCACCCACCCGCCCGCTCCACGCGAATGAGCAGTGCCCGGCTTAACTGGGTCCAGCCTCGGGCCCACGTGCAGTGTCCGCATGCCTCGTGTCTGTCTGTCCTTCTGCGTCGTCCCACTAATGTGAATTTCAGCAGCAAGTGTGGTGTTTGTTTTTTATTTTTGTCTTTGTCTCCGTGCCGTTGCTGTCGTTGTCCTTCAATAAGGTTGACTGCATTCAGCCAGTGCCAAAAGAGGAGCCCAGTCCCGCTACCAAATTCCAGTCCATCGGGGTTCAGGTAGAGGACGACTGGCGGTAAGTCGCATAAGAGGCGGTGGCTGCCTCTCCCTCTCCTCCCCTTCCCTCTGCTCTCACCTCTCCTGCTCTCCCTAACCCACTTCTCCTTGCTGGATTTCTGATAACCAAGCTGGGTTTGGGGTTTGGGCAGTGGCCCAGGCACTGGAGGCTGGGCAGGCAGGCGGGCGGGCCCATGAGCGCTTGCTCTATGAGATCAATTGGCCCACGGGGGGCCGCAGCCGGCAGAGACACGGCCCAGCACCCCATTGTTGGTGGTCTTCTGGCCCCCACTGCAGTAAACAGGCAACCTTATGACCTTGTCCATGTGTGTGTGTGCGCGTGTGGGCGCGGGTGGGGCAAGGGCTGAGCAGAGAATGAGGCAGGGGCTGTGGGACCTGCTTCAGGCGCATGGTGAGCAGACGATGCATCCGTTTCTCTGTCTCCCGTGTGTCCGGGTCGGGGTGGCCTCTGGTCTCTGGCCCTCTTGGTGACTCTCACCCCTTCCTGTCCCCACCCCACTCCACCCTCCTGTCCCCCCCCCAGAAGCAGCGCCCCCTCTCACAGCATGTCCTCCCGACGGGACACCGACTCAGATACCCAGGATGCCAACGACTCAAGCTGTAAGTCATCTGAGAGGAGCCTCCCGGACTGTACCCCACACCCCAACTCCATCAGCATCGATGCCGGCCCTCGGCAGGTCCCCAAGATTGCCCAGATCAAGCGCAACCTCTCCTATGGAGACAACAGCGACCCTGCCCTAGAGGCATCCTCGCTGCCCCCGCCTGACCCCTGGCTCGAGACCTCCTCCAGCTCCCCGGCAGAGCCAGCACAGCCAGGGGCGTGCCGCCGGGACGGCTACTGGTTCTTGAAACTACTTCAGGCAGAAACAGAGCGGCTGGAGGGCTGGTGCTGCCAGATGGACAAGGAGACCAAAGAGAACAACCTCTCTGAAGAAGGTGAGCGCTGCAGGGATGGGCCCCGGGCTGGAGAGAAAGGTGCACAGCTCGTTCTCCAGCCTCGGAGCCTCCAAGTGGGAAAGGCCGCAGTTTCTCTTCTTGAGTCAGCTGTGAGCTCTCCTCTTATTTCCATTCTTTCCTCCCTTCTGTCTATCTACCTAAGCTGAGCTTTCTCAAGGAAGGGTGTACAGGCTGTGGGCTTGAATCCCAGCCCTTCCCTTCCTAGTGAAGTGACCTTAGTCAAGTGCCTCCGAACCCTCTGTTTCTTCTATGTAATGTAGAGCTACTCCTGCCTTCTCTGGGGGTATTTGTGAGGATTGAAGGTGGCAGTGCATGTAAAGGGCCCGAAGACGTGTGGGACACAGAAAGTTGGTACCATGCTTATGTCTTAAAAAGCTCCTTATTGAGTGCCTACTGTATGCCAGGCACCAAGGATCTAACCATGGGCCTCAGCAGAGTGTGAGGAACTGTGAATGGGTGAAATAGAAGCCATCTACTTCTCTACTTCTGTTTCTCTCTATCCATGCCTCTTTCCAAAAATCCTTCTAGGAAATGGGTTCCGGAAAGAGCTAAAAATATGTAGGGAGCCTAGATTCACAGGTGGTTGTTAGCAGGAGAGAGGTGGCCCCTGGGAAGCTCCAGGCCGTGGCCCCAGCAGCTACACTGTGCCCTGACTTGGTTCAGTCACAGCTCATCCTCCAAGAGAGCCCCTCTACAGAACATGCAGGAAAGACAGGTCTCCAGAGTATCCAGAAAGGATGAAGTCAGCATCCCACTGACACCTGATGGTGTGGAGCCTGAGGAGGGTACCCTTGGATAGGTCTGTATCCATAGACCTTTAGGCCAGTTCCCAGGTTTAATGTCACACCTGCTGCTGCACAGGGAACTGTTGTGAGCTGTGTACTTAATAACTTTGCACAGTAAGAGTAACAAATCAGAATGGAGCCAAGGACCAGAGAGTGCACTGAAATACTTCTAATAGGAACCGTCCAGCCCACTGCCTGACCTCAGACTTCTCTGCTTGCAGCTGTCGGTAGCTGTACATCCTGGTATTTGCCTTCCTATTGCTTTTTTTCTTTTAAATGTGATTACCTCTTAATTCTTCTCAAATCAGTCATCGTCATGTATTGATTTCCTGCTTGTAAGAGGTGAGTAGTTAGCTGTATCACCTCTGCCTCCTGTGCCCCACCCTGCATGTCTTACATCACAGTTTTGGCTTAAGTAACCACCAATGTATTTGTTTACTGTAAGCGTGTAAATATTATTGTTCACTGCAGAGCCTAATACTATATTATGGTTTAATTTCCTTTTCTTACACACTTTATTTTTCCTAGAATAAATGATTGCCCCATCTTTTTTATACACTTCATTTTCTAAGTTCTTATTTGAAATGTTTTACACACTCCACCAGATCTGCCAGCCTTCATCAGTATTGTTTTTCAGATATGCAGACATATCAGATAATCTCATGATTTCATATTTTTCCTAGTGCACTTCTGTCCTCTGTTCTGATCTGGCTAGGTTACTCTCTGGGCCTGCTGCCTCACTGCTATCCAGAAACTTCCCTTTTCATCACCTGGGACTGCCCTTGGCCGCTGTCCCATGGGGGACACCCTGCTTTCCAGACCACGTGGCCTTCTGCTTTCTTGGCATAATCCTTCAATTTTGCTGGAACACACACCTTTAGTTCAAGATAAATTTTTAGCAACTGCATGTCTTCATTCAGACCTCACACGGTTTGGCTGAGTATAAAGTTGAAAATAACAAATTATATATGTAATGTATATGTATATGTTTGTATATATAACATATGTACGTATAAAAATGAAGTTGAAACAATTTTCTCTCAGGATCTTTAAGGCTATATTGTGTTTAGCTTCTGTTACTTGTGCTGAAAAGTTTGATGCATTCTAATTTTCAGTCCTTTGTGTGTTTTTACTATGGAAGCTGTTAGGCTCTTTGCTTGACCTCTCTTGTGAAATTTCTCAGTGCTGTGCTGTGGAATGGGACTTTGTACAGGAATGTACTGTGCCCATAGTTGATAGCCCCTTTCTATATGGAGATGCAGGTCTTTTGTTTCTGAGCAACAGCCTTGCATTAATTCTTAAAAATAATTTCCTTGCTTTCATTTGTTCTGTTTTCTCCAAAATTTGTGTCACTTAGATGTTGGACCTGCTGGATTAAGCCTCAGTCTCTGATCTTTTCTTCCTCATATCTTTTGGTTATCTTTCTGTAAGGCTCTTTCTTTTTTTCTTTTCCATGCTATAACATCTTTATTGATAAATAATTTGCATGCCATGAAATTCACCCATTCACCCTTTTATTTTTTATTTTTTGAGAGAGCAAGAGTGAGTGCATGTGTACACACATGAGCGGGAGAAGGGCACAGAGAGAGAATCCCAAGCAGGCTTCATGATCACAGATCCCAACATGGGGCTTGACCCCACAACCCTGGGATCATGACCTGAGCCACAATCAAGAGTTAGACGTTTAACCGACTGAGCCACCTAGGTGGTAACATCCTTTCAAAGTGTACAGTTCAATGGCAGTTAGTACATTCAGTGTTGTACAACCGTCACTGTTAATTTCAGAACATTTTCGTCACTCCAAAAAGAAACACTGTAACTATTAGTAGTCACTCTTGGTTCCTGCCACTTTCTCAGCTCTTAGCAACCACAGTTCTGTCTCGGTGGATTTGCCCATTCTGGACACTTTTATAAACGGAATCATACACTATCTGGTCTTTTGTGTCTGGCTTATGTTTTGTATAACATTTTTAAGGTTCACTCAAGTTGTAGCAGTATCAGCACTTCATTCCTTATTGCTGAATAATATTCCATTTTATGGGTATACTTCATTTTTTATACATTTCATCTGTTGATGGACATTTGGGTTTTTTCCACACTTCGGCTAGTATCAGTAATGTTGCTGTCAACACCGTGTATAAGTTTTTGTGTGGAAGTATGTTCATTTCTTTTAGATATATGCCCAGGAGTAGAATTGCTAGATCATATGGAAACTCCGTGTTTAACTTTCTAAGGAACGTGCCAAATGATTTTCCACAGTGGCTGCACCACTTAACATTCCCACCAATGGTATATGAGGATTCCAATTTATCCATATCCTCACCAACACTTGCAATTATTGGTCTTTTCTTTTTCTTTTTTTTTTTTTAAGTTTATTTATTGAGAGAGGGCACAAGCAGGGAGGGGCAGAGAGAGAGGAAAGAGAGAATCCCAGGCAGGCTCTGCACTGTCAGCCTGATGCAAGGCTTGAACTTGCAAACTGCAAGATCATGAACTGAGCCGAAACCAAGAGTCAGACACTTGACTGACTGAGCCATCCAGGCACCCTGCAACTACTGGTCTTTTTGAATCTAGCCATCCTCGTGAGCGTGAAGTAGTATGTCATTATGGTTTTAATTTGCATCTCCACGATGGCTAATATTGTCCAGCATCTTTGAATATGCCTTGTGGCTATTTGTATATTTTTGTTTGAGAACTCTATGGAGATGGGGACATTTTCCTGACTTGATCTCCAAACTCTGTCCGTCACATGTTTACTGTGGCCATCCATACAATAGGTCATTCTACTGTTCTTTTTCATGATATTTTGTCCTTTTTTTATGCATAGAGTGTCTCCTGCCCCTGCGAGACCTACATATATAAATGTAAGTTTTCCTGGGACCCTGTGCTCTGTCCTTTAGGTTCCGTCTTTGTATTTGTCTTTTTGTTTTGATGTTTCCTGGAACGTCCAGTCGTCTTGGTTATTTCTATTTAAAAGTGAGGAACTGATGTAGGAGTAGGAGGTTATGTGCTGGTATGTTAGTAATATGTGATAGTAACATCACAGATGAAGAAATAATTATTTAAGCATCAGGATGTAAAGACTCTAACAGAAAGGTAAAAGCCATCATGAATAATGCTGTGTTCAAGTCTTCTGTGTATAGATAGATGTAGGAGTGGAATGGTTGGATCATATTTGTCATTTTTTTATTATGGTAAAATATACATAACAGAGTTTACCATTTTAACCACTTGTTAAAATGTTTATTTATTTATTTATTTTTAAATTTTTTTTTTCAATGTTTATTTATTTTTGGGACAGAGAGAGACAGAGTATGAACGGGGGAGGGGCAGAGAGAGAGGGAGAAACAGGCTCCGGGCTCTGAGCCATCAGCCCAGAGCCTGACGCGGGGCTCGAACTCACGGACCGCGAGATCGTGACCTGGCTGAAGTCGGACGCTCAACCGACTGCGCCACCCAGGCGCCCCTATTTATTTATTTTTGAGAGAGAGGGAGGGAGAAGGAGAATCCCAAGCAGACTCCGCGCTGTCAGCACAAAGCCCAACATGGGGCTTGAACTCACCAACCTTGAGATCATGACCTGAGTCAAAAATCAAGAGTTGGACGCTTAACCAACTGAACCACCTAGATGGCTTTAACCACTTTTAAGTGTACAATTCAGTATCATTACTTACATTCACAATGTCGCACATCATCAGTATTTATTCCCAGAACTTTCTCACCACCCCAAACAGAAATTCTGTACCCATTAAGCAATAACTACCCATTGCGCTCCCCACAGCCCCTGGTAACCTCTAATCTGATTTCTCTATGAATTTGCCTGTTTGAGATATTTCATGTACGTGGGATGTTGCAGTATTTGTCCTTTTGTGTTTGGCATGTTTTCAAAGTTCATCCATGTTGTAGCATATATCAGAACCCTTTTATTTATTTTTTTTTTAATTTTTTTTAAGGTTTATTTATTTTTGAGACAGAGAGAGACAAAGCATGAACGGGGGAGGGTCAGAGAGAAAGGGAGACACAGAATGTGAAACAGGCTCCAGGCTCTGAGCAGTCAGCACAGAGCCCGACGCGGGGCTCGAACTCCCGGACCGCGAGATCGTGACCTGAGCCGAAGTCGGACACTTAACCGACTGAGCCACCCAGGCGCCCCATCAGAACCCTTTTAAAGCTGAATAAGATTTCCACTGTGTA